TTAATTTTTAGGGTTTCGGTTTTGATGTTTAATCTATGAATATATCTAGCTATAATTTTTAATTTATTTCTCATCGTTCTTCAATTTTTGTCTTTTTAATAAAGCCAAGTCGGCCCCCCCTTTTTTAACGGCACATATTTACATTTATGTCCTTCCCCTTAGAATACTCTAAAACACGACCGAGTATTAAAGCAGGGCGTTGTTATATTGTGTTGGCATTGCTATAAGGCTGGAACTAAACATTTAAAGTATTGATTACAAGATATTCTCACTATCACCAGTTTCCTCTAATTAGTGATTGACTTTGAAAATATGGTCTCTTTCGGGTCTCGTGTTTCTTCGAGAATGCTTTTGAAGAATATTCTTTCCTTCGTATGTAGCATAAGACTAGCTAACCAAGCATGTTAGACACTCTTGTTTCTTATAAAGGGTCAAGTTTTTGTATTCTAGTCGTGGGTTTGGCATGTCTTGTTTTAGAATTGACTTCAACATGCTTGGGTCACTTCTCTTTAACTGATTATATGTTATTTTGACTAAGCCACTTCCTTTTGTTATTCCTTCTCACCAAGAGGTTAATTTGTTTCGTTGATTCTAGAATGGAACATACTATTATCAATAGGATATGTTTGGAAGAGTGTGTCATACACACACATGCACCCCCGTCGTGATAGAGGATTGAAGGAGAGACATCGATGATGCTCTCTAAGAGATTTAACAAAGAGAAATTGTCTAATTCTACTAGTCTATGAATTTTTTCCTGACCAATTACTCTATTTGAAGATTGACTGGTTATCTACTATATTTGGGAATTAAAAATGCTTTTGTTGGGAAGCATCAAAAGTATTTGATTAAGATCCTTTAATTTGAGCATTGATTTTACCTAGAATGCTTTTGGTTAAAAGAAATTGGGGAAGTGTAGAAGATACTGTGTTCTTTCCTTCCTACTTTATGATTGAAGTAATATTTGTTGTTCATGTTGGCTCGATCTGTTTCTTGATTTGTCGATGAGAGTTCTGAAATGTTTTTTCAATTATTTTTTTCCTCCTCAGATCACAATCGGTGCTGCTTTTAAAATGGTACAGAATCAGCCGTTTGATGATGGGGAATCAATGGAGATCTCTTCCAAGCACTTGAAACAAGTGGTTGAACAGAGTAACCAAATACTGTCATTTTCAGAATCTGTGATCCCTGAAGATACTCTACAGTATCATTATGCTCTAGGTGCGAGTTTGGCCATAATATTATGTTGAAGTTTTTAACAAGGGTCTTAGACCAGTAGTTTGTAAAATTTGCTATCTTGCAGGATTGTAACATGGCAACTGCAGATTTTGTATTTCCATGATAATTGCTTCACTAAGATTAGCTGCAAAAGAGATTTTATGTGATTGTTTTCTATTTTGAGCTGTCTGAATAACTCTCATGGAAATTTCATTTTCCGTTGTCATTGTTAGGGGATGAATCTCAAAAGAACGACACAGAAATTGACGAAAAACATTCAAGTGCAGTTTTCTTAGAGCCGCACGGAAGTGACTTCGATACTAGCATTCCTGGCTGCATATCCTTCTCCTCTGGCGCGAACAACAGTAAGGCCCCTGAAGAGGGGTCCCCATCTAAATCTCCTCGACATTATTCTATTTCCTCAGACTTTTTTAACCCTGTAAATCATCAGCGAAGAATATTGACGTACTGTGAAGAAATATATTCTTTACTATTGGACCACCCTCCTCAAAAATCTGTTTCTATTGGTCCTGATCATCAAGCTATTGTACCACCTTGGAGATCACGGGATGTGGAGGTTATGTCATATATGTCTGGATCAGATTCAAAGTCTGATCTTACAGGCGACGAATACGAGAAGAGGTTGATTGGCACCTGTGTTATTCCAATGCCAGATGAGGATTCACCCATCAGTTGTAGTCAAGAATTTGGGAGTGGAAGAGCAGCTTGCAGCTGTGAGGATGGTGGGTCCGTGGGATGTGTTAGTATGCACATTGCTGAAGCAAGAGAGCAGCTTAAAAGTTCTATTGGACAAGAGAGATTTGTGGAGCTAGGGTTTTTTGAAATGGGAGAGCAAGTAGCACAGAAATGGAGTGAAGAAGAAGAACGATTGTTTTATGAGGTTGTCTTTTCTAATCCAGTTTCAGTGGGAAAAAACTTCTGGGGTGATCTTTCGGTCGTGTTTGCTTCCAAATCTAAAAGGGAGATTGTTAGCTATTACTTCAACGTCTTTATGCTTCGGAGACGAGCAGAGCAGAACAGATGTGACTCATTAAACATTGATAGTGACAATGATGAGTGGCAAGGAACTGATGATTATGGTGATAATGAACCTGGAATGACAGAAGAAGATGATGATTCTGTTGTTGAATCACCACTACATGATGTTGGATCTGGTTTTAATCGGGGCAGGGAAGATGATTTGCAAGAGTACGACGAGGATATCGCTGATGAAAGATTTGATGATGATGAAAGTGGGGGAATTGGCAATTGTTTTAATAATTGCGGTTCCACACCAACGCTTCCGAACAAAATTCCCTGCGACGAAAGGGGAGAACACGAAGTGCAAGATGATTCTTGCACGTCATCTGACACATGTCCTACAACTCAAGCACTTCCAGCCAAGACGGAGCATTGTGATCAATGGCTGGGTAGTTTTACGGGGCCAAACAATAGTGCTGGACTTGGACATGAGCCGTCAACAGTTCAGGAGCATTGTGATGCTAAGGTGTGGGACGTTGGATACTTGACTTGTTCGAAAAGTGAAGTTGACTTCTTACCAACTAGCAGTATGATAGAAGAAGTCTTTGGAGATGATTCGAGTCATTACAAGGCAATGGATGGAAAGAACTTGAGTTAGTTGCAGCCTGAGCTATCGTCATCACGAATGGTAAATTGGAATGGGAAAAAACAAAAAAATTTCCTTCTTTTTACCATCATGGGGTGAATCACCCAAAAATTTTCTCCTGCATATAAGTAGCGGTAGGGAGAGTTGCAATTTTTCTTTCTCATCAAGCTATAAGATGGACAGCTAGCTACCTTCCCTGTAAGGAGATGATATACTTGAAACACAATTGGTTTTCCTTCAAGATATCGTCGCTTGATCATAAATGAAAAGTAATGGACTCATGTTACCTCATGTGCAGAAGAAAAAGTGAGTTTTTGCTCATCCATTTTTTTATTAGCTCATTATCTGTATATAGCCGTGAACATGAATAATTGATACATAATGGTTAAAATATGTTGAAATTGCTTCGGAGACGTGTTTACCCAATAAACTAAGTTGTCAAGTATTATAACAGTGGGCCTGTTGTTCATGTATTCATATTTGTCCTTTCCTCCTTAAATGATCCGACTGCAAAGGATCCAGTTCTGTGTAGATCATTGGCTCTTAGTGAACCAACCGTAATCATTTGCTTTCATTGAATCTGCATCTATGTTGTTTTTATCACCTCTCTTGACTCTTCTTTTGGAACCCGTATTTCTTTTAGTGCCGAAAGTGACAGCAAACTATTTCATATTGGTTTGTGCATCATGTTAGTGCCATAAAGTTTCACAAAAGTTGTGCATAATTCATTATCTGTCATTGTTGGTTTCCGAGTGACTTGAATTTGCTTTATGAGTGGTTTATTTGCACTCAATATAGAAAAAAACCCAAACCCAAACCCAATGTGGATTTTTCCAAAGCATTTGTGGGAATCTAGAGGGAAAAAGCTGGGGGTTATGGGTTTGGGTGGTGAAAAATAGGAGTCAAAGAGGTTGGGAAAGCAGCATAAAGGCAGTGGCAGGGAGCATCTTATCCTCCATTCTTGTTGATATGTAACAGCTAGGCTTTGTTAGAGAGAAACAGCGATTGCCCAGTCTTTGCTCTATAAAGGGTTCCACTTTTTTAAATTTGAGCATCACTTTTTTTGGAGCTCCCCTCACTTCCTCCAAGTCAAGTCCTTCCAGACATTAGCCCGCACCATATGCAAAAGATCCACATTATCATATCATCTTCTTCTTCATACGTGCTACCAACTATCCCAACTCTCTTTTCTATCTTTTTTAAATCTTGGCAGCCTTCGGTCAAACTAATTACAATTTGTATTTGATAACTCGTACGAACCTCCCTAAAAAATTTTAAAAAGGGGCATCCCCGTGTCCCGTATCGATCCGTCCTATTCCTCTGTCTCCCTTCAACAAGCTTAGTTTATAGAAATCATCACCCATTTGTTATCATTTTCCTTACAGCAGCAGAGAATCAAACTGGATTGGATGTGGTTGGCGAACAATGCACATGTTGCTTAAGATTAAACATAGACTATAGTTTATTTTATTCCAAAAGAAAGTTCGCGTAGTTATATTATATATTGTGGTGAATTGAAATGAATAGTTTGTGTCTGTCTGACACATTGTGGAGGAAAAAACAAAGCAGAAAATGGAAGGCAATTACAGACAAGTCACAGCTAAAAACCGTACCAAAGTGCTGGGAAGAAGGGAACAACCAAATGGAAGGTGCCCCTTAATCATAGTTCACATGTGATTAGCAATCCTAATCAATACATTTACCCTTTCCTTTCCCATTCATTAGCTTTGTGTTTACTGGCCAAGGTAGGCCGGCACCGCACCTCCTCTCTCCTTGGTTTGTTCTCCTTCTCTTCCCTTTTTCTTCTTAGAAGAATCGATTAGTGAGATCCCATTTCAACAGAGAGAAAAACGAAAACATTTCTCATAAGGGTGTGTGGAAACTTCCTTAATAGACGTGTTCTAACACCGTAAAGTTGACGGAAAAAGATTTGATGATGCACGAGTAAGATGGAGAGAGTTGAACCAAAAGATCCAAAGTGGCAGTGGGGAATGAAGGAAAAAGAAAAGAATGGGGCGGAAAATGAAGAAAGAAAGTAGAAAAGAATAAGGAGCAGATGAAAGTGGTAGATGTGGGAAATTCCTTAAGGAAGGAATAGTTTTTGAGTATGGCAGTTAGGTTTTGAGTAGGTTCCTCAACCATCATGGCCCCATGGGGATGATCGCCTTCACCAATCTCAGCCGTCAGATTTGGGGAAGCGTAGAACTCTCACTTAAATACACGTGCTGCTTTCTCTTCTCATCCATCTCTTGCATGGATTTCTCCTCTAAATATAGTCAAGCTTACACTCTAAAACAGACACACAAACTCTCACAACACAACCTTCCTTACTTCATTTCCTTTGCTTTCTTCGTGTACCTATCATTAGTATCACAGGTTACTCATCCCACCCAATTCCTTTAAACCTCTCTTACCTTCTTCTTTCTTCTTCAACAACTCTAAAGGGAAGGTTAGTACATACAGATGTTTACTGGGTCTTCTTCTTTTCCACTTTTCATGCTTCGGATCTTGTTCTTGCTCCTCAATTCTTCAATTTCTGAGGTGGGTTCATTCATCTGTTCCAGTTTCAGCTAGGATTTTCTATGATCTGGGTTCTGTTTGTTTTTCTGTTTTCATTGGATCTTGTTTTTAGCGTTGAGAGATCAGGAACTGCTGCATCAATTCGAGCTCTTGGATTGATTTTGTTTCTTGTAAATGGAAGCTAATCTAGCATCAAGACATGTTTGCAAGCTCTGTAATAAGAGCTTTGCTTGTGGGAGATCCTTGGGAGGGCATATGAGGTCTCATTTGACCAATAACTTAGTTGATTCTGATGAGAAACATAGCAGAACAAGCCTTCAATTTGCTGATTTCAGTGCTGGAAGCGTATCAAACATGGAGGAGGAGGAGGAGGTTGATATGGAAGGTGGAAATCTAGCTGGGTTTGGTTATGGTCTTAGAAAGAATCCCAAAAAGACTCAGAAACTTGAGTTTTTAAGTGAAGAATCTTCACTCCAAGACAAGTTCTGCAGGGAATGTGGTAAAGGGTTTCAATCATGGAAGGCTCTGTTTGGTCACATGAAATGCCATTCTGAAAGAGTTGTTTCCAGTAGTCAAGAGCTGGAAGAACCAGATTCCCATATCACTGATGCTAAACAGAAGCTGGTGATGGATATCCAATCTGATAATGAAATTGAAGCTCCTAACAACAAGAGAAAAAGATCAAGAAGAAGAAGAACAGCCCAAATGGGCACGGAAAATTCAATAACTTCCTTCTCTTTTGCCACTGATTCCTCTGTTTTTGAAATCCAGCAAGAACAAGAAGTTGCCATCTCCTTGATGTTGCTTTCCATGGACGTGGGGAACTGGGTTGGTTTCAATTCTCCAGTTGAGTCCTCAGATAACAATTCAAAGTTTCTTGATACCCCATCTGCCGTTGAGAGCAAAACCTCTGTTTCCAATAAACTCAAGGCGAAGAAAATGGAGTCTGAAGTGAAGAAACCAGAGAAAAGTTCTTCTGTGTTTATGAACAAGGGAAAGATGATAGATCAAAGAAGTGGATCTAAATCTTTCCCCCCAAAAAACGACCAAAACCAAGCTAGATTCAGCTCTGATATGATCGCAAAATCCGGAAAGAAGACATTAGCAGAGTTTTGGGATTCAAAAATCTGCAAGAAACCCAAAAAGAGAAGCAAATTTGAGTGTGATATTTGCAATAAGATCTTCCACTCATATCAAGCACTTGGTGGGCATAGAGCAAGCCACAAGAAGCTAAAGGGTTGTTTCGTTGAGTCAGCCATGGAAGAAGACGAAGAAGAAGAAATAGACAGCGAGAGCAGTGCAGAAATGGCGATTTCTGCATACCCAACAGCCGAAAGCAAGCTTGCGAAAGGCCTCAACAATGGCGAAATGGGTTATCAGATTCCAAAAAAGAGCAGCAACCACAAGTGCCCAATTTGCGAGAAAGTGTTCGCATCAGGTCAAGCACTTGGTGGGCATAAAAGATCTCATTTGATCAGTGGATTAAAAAACAGAGCAACAATTCAAATTCAAAAACAAGTCCCAGAAATCAGGAGGTTTCTGGACCTGAATCTTCCTCCTGAACCAGTCGAAATAGAAAACAAGAACCACAATTTAGCATCATTAAAGCACCCATGGTGGGCTGCAGCTAATGAACACAAGCACGAGGCTCTTGTGAATGTGGGATTTCATATCTAAATTGATAGAGACTTGAGAGATTGTATAGTGATCAATACTTTCTGGGTATCATTTCATTTCATTAATTCTTTTCATTTTGGTTGAAGATCTTGTTCTTGTTCTTCTTGTTCTTCCTGTTCTTCCTGTTCTTCTTGTTCCTGTGGTATAATAAAAAAGATAATTGGGTCTCTGATCTCATTATTTTATCTTGGCATCAAAGAGAAATGAGTGATGCCTTGAAAAATGGGATTGGTATAAGAAAGTGATGAAGAGAGGATTAAAAGCAAGATTTAAGACGGCATGTGAGCTCAAAGTGGTTGTTTAGTCACCTACCCAAAACATCACAAACCCATCTCACTTTCTATACAAATGCAAGTGGTGTTGCCATTAATATCATATACTATACTCTACTAAATGCCCCATTTTAATCTTTTTTGGAGATGGAATTCCGACTCTACAAGAATAATTTCCTATTCACCTATATAAATTTAACCCTTTTAACTTAGCCGAGACGTATTCAATTTGATAGATAAGTCACATCAACTTCTTGTTACATGCGTCGGGTCTACTTATAACTCAACATTTAGTTCTGTGCTCTTTGAGGGCCTTTCTTTATCTATTCACGCTAAAAGGCAGTGAGTAGAGTTAGATCTTCAGATCTTCAGTTGAACGTGTGACTCACCAACAACATTAAACACAAAATTAAAGCAGAAAAGGGAATTTACCATTTTCTACTATTTATTTTCCCTAATTTCACTTAATATCCAATTTGAGATCACTATTTTTGTTTTATAGTGTTTATTGTATTGTGATTGTCCATGAGAAATAAAAAAATTAATAAAATTTATCAAGTTTATTTTGCATTATTTATTTACGAGGATGTTATATTCTATTATATAACATGGGTATTTTGGGGAAAAAATTAATATTTAATTTTTTAATGACATGAAAAAGTTAATAAGGTTTTTATTATGTTATTAATTTATTGAAATAAAAAAAATAAAATAAATAGACTAAAATGGACGAGAGGGTGATTGTTTAAGCCCAAGGGAAGTTATGGCGGGAGGCCCAAGCATTTGTTGAGCTGAGCCCTTTGTGTTATCGGTTTCGTAGTCCACGATCCACGAACGCTATGCAAAATCTTCCCGGCGCGAGGCGAGGCGAGGCGACGAGTTCCATCGCAATCTCCACCGTGTTGGAGAGACTTGAGAATCAGAAGTTGGGAGTTCTAATTCTGATCCTAAACTGAATTTCTGCTTCGTTTTTCCTTCTATTCCTCCGTCCTGATGTTCCATCAGCAGCAGCACCCTCCTCCTCCTCCTTCCTCTTCTTCTTCTTCTTCCGTGCCTTTTTATTTCCCTCCTCAGCCTCACATTGTGAATGGTAATCCTTCTTCTTTCGCTCATTTTCCTCAGCCTGTTTTACCCCCCGGAGTCGCTTCCGAGCCGGTCCTGCACCCTCCCGGCACCGAACCTTATTCCAATTCCGCCATATTAACCTCGACCTATGTTGGATTGGAGGGCCAACCGCAATTTTATGCTGACCCAACTGTTGCTTCTCATAATTGGGTCGTTCCGCAGTCTGACCCCGCTGGATTTGTGAGTGTTTTTTCTTTTTCTTTTTCCTTATTTATCTTGTTTCAATATTCTACGTGTCAATTTCCTTGTGTTTGGTGGTCTATCTTCTATTTAGTTTGGATTGTTTCAGGGTTTGTGGAGGCTGAGGTCCTTTTGTCTCTGTTATTTGATTCTTGTGTTCTTAGTGGGAAATTTGCGCGCACAAGACTGTGAATTGTTCTGCCGTATGAACTGGGTTCCCCCATCCCCACGCCATGGATTCCTTTTAAAATAAGCTTTGTTAGTAAGAAAGTGTGTGATACTAAATCATTTTGATGTTTCATTTTACATACTAAGTGGATGCTTTTGATATCTTTTTTCCAAGTACTTTTGAAAATTTGGTGTGAAAAGTGCTTTTTCGTGTTGATAAAAGTGATTTTGGCCATACCAATTCGATGTCTTTTCAAGCCTAGTCTATGTGATGATGTATCTTATTTATGCATATCATCTAAACTCTATTGCTTGAAAATTTTCTTAAGTTCTTTTGGGGCAGAGTCAAAAACTAAATTGAGCTTGGTCATGACTTAGACATCTGTCCTATGGTAATATGTTCAATTTTTCCATCCCCACGTTGTTTGAATTCAAAAAATTATTCTTAAACATAACATAAGTGACGATGGATCTTATTTTTGCGTCTACTATAAGCTCAATTGCATGAATGGAGATAACTTTTTTCTCACAACAAATTTTATGTGAGTGATGGCTTTATATTACAATCATCCTATGCATCAAGACTTCTCAGAAGTTCATGTCGAAGATTTAAAGAAATTTTTTTTTTGTCTTTTTGTGTAGGCATTCATATCTTTGCTTGAGAATCAGATAGCTTCCACGAGTTCTAATTCTGTACTGGAAGGCAATTGGGCAACTCAATCCTTGGCACACAATGCAACTAGGACGAAACATGTGAAATCCAAGTTCACCCAGCCTGTGCGATGTGAAGTTTGCAAAATTAACTGCAATAGTAAAGATGTTTTTGATAAACATGTAATGGGGAAGAAACATAAGAAGAATTTGGAAGCACAAAACAGTTCCTTGACGGGAAGTACTTCCTCTGATAGGAACATATATATGCTAAACCAAACGGGCAGTGTCAGTGGTCAAGTGGCAGAGGGGGCTCCGGATGTGCCTGCTGCTATTAAAGGTCAAAATACAAAGAAGCGAAAACTTACAGATAGTGGTACGAAAGCTGATTCTGCGAGGGTTTGTACTGTATGCAACGTTGTTTGCAATAGTCAAGAGGTTTTTGATAAGCATCTGAGTGGGAAAAAGCACGCAGCTCAGGTGAGTTACACTGGTGTTTTCGGCTAGTATAAACTGTGGTACTCTGGTCATCATTTGCTTTTTCTTAGAGTTTTTTTCTTTCAATACTTGTTTACTTTTATTTATCCCTTGAATATAAATACGAATGCATTATCTAGTGGTAAAAAAAGCATGAAATAGAAGTCATTGTCCATTTCCATGGGGTTATTGGAAGGTTTGCTTTGTTTCTTTTGTGATCCTTATTTTTTAGACAAAATACAGTATTCTTCAATCAAACGACTTTCTATCTATCCAGGGTTATTTCTTCAGATCTATAATATTGTCTTCTACTAGGTAATTATTGATAGGATACCCGTTAGTATATCAAAACAAAGGATTCAGAGAAGTATTTGGAAAAGCAAGGGGCAATGGGTATCGTTGAAAGTTTTTTGCCATATGTAAAAATAGATCCATATGTTGAATGGTACAAGGTGGTTGGGTTGTTTAATTTTAGTTTTTGTTCTTATTTCAATCTATTTAGGTCTTTCTGGCTATTATTCACCACCTTGGCATATGTATAGGACACTTCTGTTGCATCCCTTTCATCATTGTAGATGAAAGGTGTCTTCAATTAGGGGGTCTTAGTTGTGAAACATCGTTCCTCTGTGCATCGAGTCAGCTTAGTGATGATGGGTGCTTCCTTGAGTGATCAAGACTACGTAGTTGTTTGGTGCATGGTACTCTACTGATCACAAATCTAATATGCTATACAATCAGAAGCTGCTGCTATTCTTCTAGTCATTGTCAAGTGAAAACCATGAGCTTTGGTGGGATTTTGGCTACTAAGTTAGAGCTGTTGCTTTCTGGTCATATATCTCTTTATTAAAACTTCAACTTTCCTGCTGAATAGGCTGTCTTAACATCCCAAAATCCCTATGCTGCTGCAATCCGGTCTCAGTATGATGGCAGCTCGAAGAAGAAACCGAAAAAGAACAAGGTCGTTCAGTTTGCCTGGTGTGAGGTTTGCAAGATCAGCTGTAACAGCAATGAAATCTATGCCAAGCATCTATCAGGAAAGAAACACTTGAAGAACATAGAAAAAGCAGAAAAGGGATGGAGTGATGCAGGTGCTTCGAACGCTCTGCAATCGGCAACAGAGCCAATTATCGGGCCAACGGAAAACCCATCTACCAACAACCCAAGTAGTGATGATATACAGAAAACACAGAAGAGTTCAGCAGCTCAAACACCAGAAGATCTGGAGACGAAGAAACGCAAGATTGTGGAAAGTGGTACGGCTGCAGATTCTGTTAGAACCTGCAGCATTTGCAATGTGGTCTGCAATAGCCAGACAGTGTTTGATTCTCATCTGTCTGGCCAGAAACATGCTTCCATGATGAAGAAACAAGGTGTTTCTGGAATGTCAATGCTAGTTCCTCCTTTAGTAACTGCACTTCCTAACTAGTCTCGTCGGAAAAATCCATTCCGTTCTCGCACCAAATCACTGTGTATCTGTTTTCTGATGTTCCCATATGTTCTTCTCTGTGCTGTGTATTCTTCTACTCCGAGTTGTGGAGCTAAATCGTCGGTAGGGGGCGGAGGGATATCATAGATTTCTAATTACAGACAGTGATTTTGCAGTTGTAAACTAAGTCATAGATCATGCTACTTGGAAATTATGACCAAGTCTCTAATTCCTTAAGAAATCATATTCTGTGAAACTTGATCTATCAATTATATATCTCCTTCCACTCTATCTTGTAGATGATTATACCCTCAAACTTAAAATTTCACCAATCACCTTCTTAAGCTTATGAAAGTTTTGAAAAGTCTAAAACCGTAAACTTTGTTCAAATCAAGCTCCCGGATTATTGGATCCTTACGCTCGAACCTTAATTCTTGATACAAACGAATTATAATAAGAACTATGTAAGTTAGAATTTTTTCAAGTGGGTAAATTATATTTGTATATTTTATGAAGTGGGTTAAATTTTAGGTAGTTTACTTTCATATTCTAATTTGGGTACACGTTTGGGGCATTCAAAAGTGTCGTCCTTTATATATTCCTAAAACCCTAAGCTGCCCAACTTGCCAGAAGTCTTATTTGCCACCAACTGGATAATGGAGGATTTTTTTGAAAAAAAATATATGTTTCTTCACGTTGGCTGACTTTTTTCTTGTTTGACTTTCATTTTGTTTGAACAAGTCAACTTTTGTAATTTAATCGATTTTAAATTCCACTGAAATTTGTGCTTTGTTTTACCTTCAATCATGTCAATACATATTTGAGGGGATTTGATATGAATCGCATGATATTTATGTTTAAAAAAACTCACATTCGACTTAATCATGAATGGTTCAACAATGGCGGGAAATGGAATGAAGAAACGGCCATTTCTGGGAAGATTTTAAAATTTTATTGGATTCGTTGGATTTGTTTATTGATTCGAAGCGTTCCTCTACTTTCACGCCATTTTCCATGAGTCATTTTCTCAAACACTTCTTAATCCCCAAGTTGTTCCAATCCCGGCTGATCCTTTTGGCCCAGGTCTGCCTTTGACTCCTTCCCTCTTTCTATTCCCTTCTTTCCTTCAAAACCCACCATAAGTCTTCGCTGATTCATCAATTTTTCTCTTGATCGTCTAAGTTCTTGCATTCTGAAGGTACCTGAACTCCCTTTCTCTCTGATTCTATCTGGGTTTTCTCTTGATTTCTGAATGCTTGTGGGTTTCTCTGAATTTTTTCTTGTAATCGGCGAAGTGCCGCTCGCTTTCTATAGAAGCTGAACACTCGACGCTGTTTTTGCGTTGATTCTTAGTCTATTTTTGGCCAAATCTTATGCGATTTTCGAACGGATGATTTCACCACTTCACCTATGCGTACTGGGTTTCTGAGAAAATTGAGCGAAATGTAAAGAAATGGGGTAATTCTAGTTCCATTATTGATTTATCTCAGCGATGAGTTTGGTTTATGGATAAATTTCGCCAGAAACTGTGTTTTCGATTGCGAACTGTTTGATTAAATGCCATGATTCCTGTGGAAATATGGTACCCTGTTTTTGTTGTATTTGCCTGACTAACTTGATCGCAAACTGTTTGATTAATTGCCATGAGTTCTTATGCTGACTTGTGTAATTTGGATTCTTCTTTTTCATCGAATTCTTCAAAACCACAGCTGAATTCTTCGTTTACATTTCCAGAAATGTCACACTTTAGGAAATCCCCCATACGTTTTGCTAGGCACGGCTCATCCCAACCTGCTAATCCTGCTCGTTCCACTTCACAACCAATTGATTCCAATGATAATTTAGACAAGAGGCAAAAACACAAGTCCTCAAGAATCACCTCTTCTCATCAAGCAACTGTAGCACCTAATCCTAGCTCCAACCTTTTCGATGATCATCTCGAGAAAGAGACCGATTCTTCTTCACATTCTTCATATTCATGGTCATCAAGAAACAGATACAAGAATGATTTCAGGGACTCTGGTGGGCTTCAGAGTCAGACAGTGGAGGAGTTGGAGAATTATGCTGCTTACAAGGCTGAGGAGACAACTAACGCAGTCAACAACTGCCTGAAGATTGCTGAAGATATGAGAGAAGATGCAACCAATACCTTAGTTGCTCTCCATCATCAGGGTGAGCAAATCACTCGCACCCACATGGTTACTGCCGATATCGACAACGACCTTAGTCGGGTACGTGGGATGAACGATTCATCTTTGAGAGTAATTTTGAAATAATTAAAATCCATGTCGATACATGCCTTTAATCCTTCAGAACTGCTGTAGCTTTGCTAAGTCTTCAATTATGGATGCTTTTGGGTATTAATCAATGTTTAATGGTGTTGACTTCAGGGTGAGAAACTTCTAGGAAGCTTAGGAGGAATATTCTCCAAGACTTGGAAGCCAAAGAAGGGTCGTCAGATAACAGGCCCCGTTATCTTTGAAGGTAATATTTTCAAATTTTGTCACTAAAAGAAGATAATAATGTTAGGAATCACGAACCTCCCTCCATAGCATGATATTGTCCACTTTGAGCATAAGCTCTCATGGCTTTGCTTTGAGCTTTTCCAAAAGGCCACATACCAACGGAGATGTATTCCTTACTTATAAACCGATGATCATTCTCTAAATTAGCCAATGTGAGACTCCCTCCCAACCATCCTCAACAAAGAACGGGCCCATTTGGTTAGGGTTTTGGATGTCACTAACTGATAGAACCAGGAAGGTTTCAACTTTCCCACTAATCAGATGGATTAGGTAGATAACCAATGTATTTTAATGAATAAATTTGATTTGATTTGGTTGCAGGCGATCAGGCTGTGATAAGCAAGGGCAACCATTTGGAGCAAAGGGAGAGGTTGGGGTTAAGTCGGGCACCCAACCCACGGTCCTCGCGCGCCCCACATCCTGAGCCAACCAACTCACTTCAGAAAGTTGAGGTTTGTCTATTTACAGAAAAAGCACTTCAATTGGAAGCACTTTCCTCTAAGCATATTTGAAAATATTTAACAAGAGATTTGTTGTAAACCAGGTGGAAAAGGTGAAACAAGAGGATGCTCTTTCAGATTTGAGCAATATATTGGGAGAGCTTAAAGGAATGGCTGTTGATATGGGAACTGAACTAGACAGGTGCGTTGTTATGTTCTTAGAGAAAAGCTTCTTGTTTTTCATTTTCCATAAACGTTTACGGGTTAACGAATACAATTATATCTTCCGTTATTAAAAAAAGAATGAAATGAGAAACAAGAACCGAGAATGTTACTAAACGGGTTGAAATGCTAATTTTTCTTCCTCTGGAATCTAAACCCCTGTGATGTGGTAAAGGGAGGATATTAGACGACCAAAAGCCTTTGTAGCACTAGTGTTATACAAAAGTCATGGGTGAAAATTGGTCTGATGGTTCGGAAGAAACCTATTCCCTTCTCTGTTCCAAACATTCCTAAAAGTAGATGCATCTTTGTTAAATGGTTTTTGAATCTATGTTACTATATTCCAGACAAAATAAGGCTCTGGATAACTTGTTTGACGACGCGGACGAGATCACGGTTCGTGTTGATAATGCTAATCGGCGTGCTCGGCACTTGCTTAGAAAGTAGATTTGAAATTTGCAAGGTCTCCTCTGGTTTGGCATCAGCAAATATGATGGTATATGCTTTGACTGACCGGCTTTAGCTTCTTCCCTTTTGGTTCTCAGTGTCTTCCTCTCTGTCTGTATGTCTTGTCTTCATCCGAAAAGAAACATAAAATTTCCACTCTTCTGCTAAAAACAGTTGTGAAATGGTTTGGTTATTGCAAGCCCAATCTGGTTGATGATGTAATTTGCACGAAACTGCGTGTTTGGGGCTCTCTTAAATTAAATGGATATCTCTATTTATAACTTTTATATTTATTTTATTTTTATTTTAGGTATATTTAAACTTTTTGAATATCTATTTTAATTTATATACTTTCAAAAAAATAATAATTTTGGTAGTTATATTTCTTTGTTCTTAAAAAGTTATTTGAATAAGGTGATTGTGATTTCATATCTAAATAATATAATAAGGATATAAATGGTCGTTTTATAAGAAAAAAAATTAGAAAATTATGAATGTTTATCCACTAAAATAATTAATAGTTTAGGGATGAGTACGAAATTAAGCTTTTTTTTTTTTTTTTTTTTTTTATGCTTTTTTTTCTACACTCCTACGTCAACCTATCGATTATTTCTCCTAATAAATTTCAAGATTTTATGGGAAAGAAAAAAGAAATAAATAATAAATAACAAATTAACAAAAATTCGGATCGCTCCCTCACATATAGATGACAAATAAAAAATGGGTATATATTATATCTCGCGGTGGAAATGAACAGAGGTTCCGGCACGACGGAGCGCCGCCACATTACGAGGATGACTGTCTCCCTTACGGCCAATATTCAAACACTGATCGTTTACTGATGGCGAAAATCTGTACTCCTCCTTATCTATTGCATAAATTAAAGCCCTAGAAAAACCTTGGCCACCTGCCACTGCCACTGCCCTACGAAGACCTAAGCTAGTAATTCCTTCTTTGTTTTAGGGTGCTAGCTAGTCCATTGATACTGGTCCTCTCTAATTTTTACACATCCATTGAAGTCAGTTTTATTCTTTGCCTTGATAATTTGTCCCTTTTAATTTATTTTCGCCTTTATGTGTTACGTTTAGTTTTAAGCTTTCAAACCTGCTTGATCATCCTCAGATTGGTCTTCTGCTTCTTGAGTCTTTGTCCATTGTTGCCCATTTTGCTCTGTTCCATCCTGAGAATCAACAAGTTCTTCGCGGGGGAAAGAGCCCTACCATACTCTACAAGGTTAGTATACTGCCAAACCGATCCCATCCCTAGTTTCATATTCGGATGAAATTGACGAATGAGATTTGTGTTCTTAGGTGTGCGACCTGCCGTTCGTGTTCTTCAGCGACCCCGAACTGATGCCAGTGTTGGCTAGTACCCTGGTTGCTGCTTGTTACGGGTGTGAGCAGAACAAGTCCGTTGTTCTGCAGGAACTAAGCATAGACATGCTGCTCTCGTTATTGAGATCCTGCAAAAATAATCCGCCAGTGTCAGCTGTGCAATCCAATTCAACACAAGAACGATGAATCAAATGAATGTAACCCAAATGGTGTTGAGTCTCCCAGTAGGAAGGCCGACACTACATAAGCAGCCATCCATCCAGGAAGAAGCAAGCTACCTTTCTTTGATTCACCTTCTCGGGCAGGGAAGAGAACGAAAATAGGCATTTGTTAATATTTTTAAAAGGTGCATTTCTAGATAAAGAAATTGTTTGTGAACAGTATTTATTGCTTTTAATAAAATGAAGAATCTAGCGTTTATAAACTTTTTAAGAGGCTTTGGAACTAATACTTCGAAAATGTCCAGAATTCAGACCAATCAAGCAATTACATTAAATAGATCTAAGTTACAAGATCATGTTACAATTCTAATATGGGAAGAAGCAAGCATCATTGACTTGCAAGTTCAAACAATGGGTAAGGTTGGAATTGAGCAACAAATTGGATCGTGCATGTGGTTACAACATACAGCACATATTTTCCAGCCGGTCAAGTCCGGGGGAATGCAATTGGCCGCTACTTCCTTTGGCGCATGTATTGCAGCTGGGTTTGAGTCGCCAATTCGGACTGTAAAACACACACAAAACCCAACCATGGCAGACAAATATACAACAATGTGGAGCGACGAGAATTATTTTGCTGTTTGAAGAATGTAAACCAAAATATTTTGACCTCTAAGCTGCTGTGGACTCTTCGGGACCCGCTGTATTATTGTCCAAGCAGTCGTCTTTGGAGTAAGCACTTCCAGGAACCTTCACTAAGATTAGCTGTTCATCAAGTACATTCTCTTGCGCATTGTGCACTCGATTCTGTGATTTGTTTCGAGACTATCAGCTATTTTTTCACAAGGTTCCCTTTAATTTTATAAGGTAAATTTGTTAACTAAACTACGTAGAAAACTGATACAACAAGCACAAACCTGAATGTCGTTATCTATCCTTTCAGTATTTTCACTTTTCTTGATATCAGTGATAGTGTCTCTAAGTTGCTTCTTAGCTTTGAGCCGAACTAATCGTCGTTCAGCACGTTGCTCAGCGGTAACATCAAAATGACATGCCACACACAGGGTCCTCATATTCTCTAGCCTGCATTCACCTTCAGTGGTGAACATAACTCAGATTAATCAGTCACCACTAATTCATATACCCAGTAAAAAGACCAAATAGAAGACTGAGAATGCAAACTATTTAGTGCTTCAAATGGTTTGGTTATTATAAAACTATAGCATCCTGAAATTATTCCTGGGCTTGAAACATGGACATGCATGCATTTCAATTCTAGAAATGCCACTACATTATGGAGACATGAGTATAATTATCCATAATTCTCAGCTTACTTTGACTACTGATATTGAGATATTTAAATGTACAGCTTGGAGATGAGCATGTTGGGAATTAGCCCATATTAGTCATACGCTGTATAATTTTGAAACCTAAAAAAAAGCGTAAATACGATATCTAATACATAAATTTCTAGGTAGAATGTTCCATACCTCCACCTCGGTAAACAGGAACAATGTGGTCAGCATGCCACGCGTTGCCCTCAGTTGGATTATTAACAATCGTTTCAAGCCTTCCAGACATGAAGAGATAATGTCAGAACTCAGAAAATAGAAACCACTCTTTGTTATTCACTGCATACTTGCCTACCAAATAATTTGAAACTATAGACTTACAAATTTTTCCGGCTTGTCAACTTAGGTGCTACTTTCTCAATATAATCGCGCCGCATCTCCACGGACAATGGTCTTATGTGCTTTACGAGCTTATGACAGTCCAAATGACAATTTGAGCAGACACCATGCTCCATTTGAAACAGTTCCTGGTAGTTCAAGCAACAAGAATCATATGAAAATGAAGGAAATGGCATACAGAAACTAGTTTTTTTTTTTTTTTTTTTTTCTGACAGACACCAGACCTTTTATTGAATCAATGAAATGAGACGAATGTCCAAAGATACTGGACTGAACCCCAAAAAAATCAAACAAGAACCACCGAACCCAAACCACAAAGGCAAAAGAGCAATCAAATTTCAACAATGAATGCTTTGGGAATTGAAAGGAGGAATTTCACGCATCTTGAGACTAGAGGCTTCAACAAGAGGAAAAAAATTGCTAGGGATAGATGAAGGAAGAGAATGGGGAATGTTTTTGTGACTTTTTTGAAATAGAGATACTAAATCATCACTAAAAGAATCTTCAGCACCAATATCATCAATAACAGTTTTCATTAGCTGAAAAGTAGATTCCACACAATGGTAAATTATAAACTATACATTCCCCCTTTATATATGCATGACTGTAGATATTCAGAATTCAAAAAAAAATCATGATGAAAGTTGGACTTTAAAAAACAAAGACACGCACCACATATCATTATTTTGAGGTGCAATCTTTGTCGAGCCTCAACTCTAGCTTAAAAAAATTGTCTCGCCAAATCATCATTTAGAAAGTTTAACAAGATATAAAAGAATTCATATATCTTATTAGTTATTATCAGTTGGATGACCTAGCATAAGGGTTCTTGTGCAACTTGTCGTCAGGCCTCAACCCATGCGACTTGCACAAACACGTGTCTTACTAATAGTTGATTAGCATGCCAACAGACATTTTACTCCACTAGATACACATGTTGAACTGTAAAACATTGGTGGAAAAACATGAATGATTGATATTCTCACCCGACGGAGGGATGTGCTACTAATCCTAACGCGGTATTCTTCATAACAGCCAAGATTACAGAAAAGATCTTCAAAATATTCAGGTGTCTTTGCATTGATGCCCCTGAAAGTTGAGGAAACAATTGAAGTTTGATCAAAGAATTTACAACTTACAAAGATAAAGAAATGGACTTACTGGCATGGTGTTTGACAAAGTTTACAAAGAGGTTCATCTGTCAGTGTCCAACCCTGAGAATATTCTTTCTTTCTTTTTCCAGAGCCACAGCACAATTGGACCAGTTTCCATACAGCAGAAGATGGTAATGGTCGGCTAATGTCATCGATTGGTGTTGTCCGCCGCAAACTCTTACCCTTCAACACTCCCTGCATAGAGAGATGCAATTATAAATGTTGATATAGTCATGATGGACTCATCCCATTCTGAACTGAAGCATCCATACTTACTAGTTAGCTATAGGACATAAGAAAAAAACAATATCTTGCCCTATGACCACTTTGTACCAATTAAATCAAGGGTAGATATTAAGCACCTCATTATACTCGCATTGTATCATAAGTCCACAAATAAGAGGCATTGTAAAATAAATAAATGATAAATTAGCCTTACCAATTGGCTAATTCCAAATTTATATCTAGCTCAACCGTTTAGTACCAATTAAATTAGGGGCTATATATTAGGCACTTCATTATACTCGTTGTATCATAAGTCCACAAGTAAGAGGCATTGTAAAAAGATATAAATGATAAATTAACTCTAAATTTAAACAGGATAAAAAATCAATAGTACGATATCTAGCCTTCTTATATAGGAGAAAGACTCGATGCATAAAAGTAAATAATCAGAATAAGAAAATATAATTAAGGATTACACCTAACATATTTGCAAATATAAGATGGAGTAGCTTATTTAAGCAAGCCAGACTACATGAAAGGGAGTAGGCATACACTGAACTACATCTTGACCCAGGAAAAATCTTACTCAAATTAAAATCAACATACATCAGCGTTGTGGTTGATGCTTTCCTTCAAGTAGCACAGTTCAATATCCAAAGGAAGTTGCAGTGGTTTTCCATATAACTTTCTTTGCTCAATGGGTCTCAACTTACGCCATTCACTGAGAAATTCTTGAAGAGCTAGTTTGTAGAGTGTGGCGTCCAAATTGAAATCTGTTTTTTCACTGTCATCAACAGAACAGTCTATCAATTCAACTTCTTCTGGTCGAAAATTAAGAAACAGTGGCCTTGGTCGCAAGTCTATCCCAGGAATGCATCTATACAAGTGGACCCTTCCTGTATACTGACTAATCTGAAAATGAAGGTAGATCATTTTGCTATCAGTTGTCAACGCAAGATCCAATGCAGCAAGAATAAACTAGGGAAGCAGCAAATATGTTGGATATAACAGCTCTTGTCAAACCATTAAATGGAATGCTGAATCTGGTAATAAACTAATTTTTTTATCTGAGGATATAACTATTTCCAGTCAAATTTGACCGATCTACCACCATGAACATGATATTGGACACATCGAAGAGAATTAAAAATCAACTATGAGTCATTGTCATAAGGTCCTAAATGCAAAAATAGATCGACATGTCATTGTCAGCAAAGTTTGATCTGTTTGAGAAGAATAGAACCACCAACCTATGGATTAATGCGTTTAAACAATCTCTGCCAAGCCCACCTCAAGAGAAGCTTAAGATAATGTTAACCATGACTCTGATCCTAAATTTCACGGTTTCATTCTCCCTTTAACAATTATAATCTTGAGCCGGCTTTTTTTCTTTTTGTAATCTTCCTGGCTATGGATTTGACTTTCATTCCCCTCTTTGTAGAATTTCTATATTCATTATTATCTCCGTGGCCAGGGTTTGACTTTAATCCCCTCCTTTTGTAAAATTTCATTATTACAATATTTGTTTCCCATTATTCATTAAATCACTGATCAACCTAAAAGCTTAGGTCGATAGGTTAAAGTAAATCATATCAATCTTTAACACTCCTCCACACTCGTGGGCTGAAATTTTGTAGAAGGTCCAACAAGTGAAAATCAATATTAATTAGGGAGAAAATTACATTACTGGGGTTCAAACATAGGACCTTTTGCTCTGATACCATATTAAATCACCAATCTAACCCAAAAGCTGAAATTTAACTATATAGATGTGTTTAACTATAAGATGAGAGAGCACCCATGCATCATAGAATGGCAAACTTTTCTTAATGAAACTTCTGATGAAGAGAGTACATCCCCCTTTCTTTGGAAAGGCATTTTAATGCTTAAATATCAACAAAGTTTTGAGCCGAGTAATCAATATGAATGAACAAAAACTTGAGCAGTTTCACTTGTTGGCCAGAACACCCATGTTATCTAAAAAAAATCAATTATTAAACACAACCGAAGTACCTCAAATCGCAGAACATGAACATGGTTCAAGGAACTTTTTTCAGGCTCAGTGATCAGATGGG